ACAACACTGATGTCAGTGGAACTTCCTGGAAAACCCTTATACAAGCAATGCACTGCCTTTTCCTCTGCTTCACCCCCATCACTGCTGCCAGGGAAGGTTTGTGTCTTTGTATCTGAGTTCCCATTTTCCCACCTTTGCCCATTTCAGCCTCCTGAGCCTGTGCTGCCAGCATGGGCTGTGACAATAGAGCCCCAAGTTCACATTGACCAGCACTGCTGTGCACAGCACCCACCCCATAGTCATGAATGCTTCTCTGTCCACAGAGAAATCCTGATTTGCTCCTAAATTCTGTGTATCCATGAAGAGGTGGAGCATCTTGACCCTCTTCTTATTAGATTGTGTCTCTCTGTTGTTGTAAATAGCTGCTAATCAATCAACACTTGTTAGCTGTTCAGTGGACAGAGATGGGTTAAAAAATAATACATTTACACTAGAATTTACATTGGATTTTTGCATAAGAAGAAATAAAAAATTAGGACTGCAGAAAAAAGGTGAAGTCTGATTCTCATGTGCCATCCAGGCAGCACAGATCCACTCCCTTCATGGCTTGCCAGAAACCCTGTTGATGAAAGCGTTACCTTAAAAAGTTTTCACAGGAAACAATCTTTGATGTTTAGTTCAGACTAATAGCAAATACCTACTTTGCTTGCAGCAATAACTGTACTGACAGAGCTTAATTCCTGGCCCAGTGTACATCCTGTGCTGTATCTGAGCCTCCACATGCTTCATAATTAATTAGGGAGTGTCATAGCTACTGCCAGGAGAGCAATGAGCTCCTTTTTTACTGGTCCACATCTGTGTTAAGCTGCTAGACATAAACTGGAGCTGGAAATGTTCCTATCTCACAGTAAGACATGCTGCAGGATCTTTCATTTATCTGCATAAAGCTTTGATATATTATACTACATCAAATCTAAAATCTCATTAATCAGTTACAAATCATTATGATTGCAGCTCATCAGTGGTCCAAAGATCATTTTAAGCTGCTTGTTGGATACAAGTGAGGTAGAATAGAATTATGCCAGACTCCACATTTGCATTGGTCTAGTGTTGATGGCTTTTGCAGAAGGACTCATTTAGCCACCCAACAATCAATCAGATGCAAAGACAAAGAGTGGAGGACAATAGAAATCTCCTAAGAAGGCAAAGAGAATGAAGTACAGAGAGGTTGCTCATGCTATACTGTAAAGAATCTGAAGGCCAGGTTGGATGAGGCCTTGGGTAATATGGTTTTGAGCGAGGTGTCCCTGCCCATGGCAGGGGGGTTGGAACTTGATGATCTTAAGGTCCTTTCCAACCCTAACTATTCTATGATTCTATGAAGTGAGCTTTGATGTTTGAAGCAAAAAAATGTTGTCCATGCTCTCCTTTTTGGCATCCCCAGAAGTGCAAGGCCAAGTTCCTGGCAGAAGCTCCATACTCTACAGCGTGAACAGGCTGTCCTAGCTGGAGGAATGTGAGAGGCCGTCATGATTGCTGCCCTGGGGCTTTGCCCGCGAGCACAGCAATGGAAAATAGTGAGAGGATTAAGCCTGGGAAAAAAAATCACTTTAAGATTAACCATTGCTCCTGGGTTATTATTTTCCTGGTTTGATTTGTTTGGTTTTGGGTTGCTTTTTTTTTTTTTTCTTCTTCCCATTTGTGGATCTTCTAAGCCTATTTAGAGGAAGGCAGCAGAACACAGATATAAAAAATGACATGTTGCCTTCAGGACAAGATTGCTGCCACCTTAATAGACCCTCAGAGCAAAGGAGTAAATAGAGGAAAATAAATCCAGTAGGTTATACATTGCCTTTAGAAATATTTTTTATTTATCATGTTTATAATATTTCCTTACAAAGCTATTAAATGCAAACGTGAAGTTCATAACTTGTATAAAATTCTAGGAAAATGTTTTCCTTCCAGTCTGATAATACATGCCCATGTGCATGTGAAATGTGTTTAAATTTAAATAACATCTCCAATCCAACATGTCATGCCGAAATGACATTTTAAAAAGTTACTGTAAGAGAGTCTATGCAAAAATCAGATGCAGAATAAAAAGAAAGATAACATTGTAAACCAGACCCTATTCAGGAAAAAGTGGTTTATGTGAACTTTAAAACACTTAAAGTTTTGAAAAAAAAAAAAAGGCAGTTTGAGCAGTTTAGACTTTACGCCAATGTGGTCCATGTAGTACCTTGCTATTTAGGCAGAAAGCCAATGCTTCCTTTGGGGCCCTTTGGAGACAGCTGAGCTTCTGGTCACAGGGTCTGAGCTTTGGCAGGTTGACCAGAGGAAGGGGGGCAGTGCTTGCTCTTAGATCAGCGCGTCCTGGCTGGCTGGGGACCCCAGGGTGGTCTGCGGGTGCGTGGACCCATGGGTGCTCTGTTGTACAGCAGCTTGGTGGGTCAGGATGAAGTCCACATACCACAGGTAAGGCTGGGATAACAAGGATGGCAACCCCACTCTGGCTGCTGTCAGCACTATGAAGGGCCTTGGCATACTGCAGTCTGGCTCTGTGATCATAAGCATCCCTTCTCCTATAAGGAAGACATGGGTGTCTCTCAGTAAGCACAGCTTTTGATGGCTCCCTGCAGCTCCTCTCACCTGCCAGGGAAGCAGCAGGAGATCAGGCTCCCAAACAATGATATTAGTACTTACTCAGCCTGAGACAGCAGCATTCAGTGCACTGATGCACAGCATTTTAACACTGTCTCCCTACCCCTGTAATAGCTTTTCTGGGATTATGTATGAAACCTCTTTTTCTTTGGGACAGGACCATAAATCCTTTTTAGTTTTGCACTTGCCATTACAATCCTATGGCTTGCCCTCTAATGCACTATTTAAAATAACAACTTAGTTACTGGGTTAAAACCTCAGTCACAGTTCTACAACTCCACTGTAATTATCTTCACCTCCTTTTTTCATCTGTCTTCCTATAGTGGTGTTCAGTTTTCAGTTGCAAAGGTTATGAATGCAACCACAGTATGGGTGTCATACAAAATAAAGTAATAGTAGCACTTTCTCCTCTGCAGTGTGTCGTTTCTCACAGCACATTTATCACTGAAAGGCCAGAGTGCTTTCCAGAAATGCATCAAGCCATGCAATGAGTACATCTTATATGGCGTAGGACTTTTTCTCCTCCTCCATGACAGACGGGCACAGAGGTGAGGAAGAAAAGGAACAGTAAGCTCCAATATAGCTTTACATTAATTTTGACAACAGTGAGAGTGATGCTACCTCTTCTCATTTTGTAGATGGAGGGAGCACTTCCATCTACAGGGGCTGAAGCCACATCTCACTGCATGCTGTAAAAGGCATTATTATTTGTGCTCATGTTAGAAAAATGTTCTGCCCCTTATTTTACCAGAACTGTACTCATAAGTCACTAGTGTACATGTCATTATGTACCCACTAGCTGCTGTCCTCACTCATCCCTCAGGCAAAATTCAGTGGAAACTTCTCCTGAATAAGGGATTTGTAGTCTGCTGTGTCAGTGGAGCTGTAGGACCCCGTTAAGCAGAATGGTGGTGCTGATGTTCTGCTCCAGCAGAACAACTGACGGTTTAAACAGCATTCATGCCCCCTTGCCGTCAGGAGAACAACACACAGCAGCTGGACATTAGCAATAAGACACTAGTAATGATCTTCTACACAATAAGACACTAGAAATAATTTTGGTTTGGTCACCAATCCACAAGTAACTTTAATAAGCCATATAAAATTTTGCTTTGACCTAAAAAATGAGAATTACGAATATTTGGCAACATTGAATGTCTGAATTCAAAATCAACGTTTTGTTCCACCTGTAAGAAATGTAATAACAGCACAGTGTCAGAAGGGCTAAGGCACCTCTGAAAAATTGATGTATTTCCAGAAGCCTCATATTCACATGTTAGGTCTTCTCAATGCTTGAATCAGAATGAAAACATCTACCCCTAGGGAACTGCCCTGACCTAGAGATCAGAAGATACTGCTTCATGAGCCTGTCTAAATTCTGGTAAATTTACTCCATCTCACATGGAATGAAGAAACACTCACTACACCAGATTGTTCATGAAAATGTGGGAGATGGGATTGTGTCTTCCCTGTCCCAAATCACCTCTGTTATCATGTCTGTGGCGCTGGGCTTATGGGTGAAGCTGGACACTGACAACTGTGATCTATTTAGACTAGATATTAGGACAAAGCTCTCTGTTGTTAGGCCGGTGAGACACTGGAACAGGTTGCCTAGAGGAGCTGTAATCTGACTGAATCATAGAATCATAGAATAGTTAGGGTTGGAAAGGACCTTAAGATCATCTACTTCCAACCCCACTGCCATGGGCAGGGACACCTTACACTAAGCCATGCCACCCAAGGCTTCATCAAACCTGGCCTTGAAAACCGCCAGGGATGAGGCATTCATTGAGCTGAAGACCATGAGATGCTCTGATATTTCCATTCTGGAAGTCAGGGAAAGAAACCTTGTCATAAATTGTACTGGAGATGCAAAACACTAGAGTTATTACAGTGGGTCAAAAAGAAGGTCCATCTGTCGAAGACCCCTATTTTCAGGAGTCAGTATGTATGGTGAGCTTTCACTTGCAGCTTATTCCCTGTGACCAAGAGCTTCCTTGGACAGATGTTCCTCACAGAGCTTCCCAAATCTCAACAGTCCCCTTCTCCCTTCCTCCATGTGCAGAGGCAGGAATTACAAGGACATGGTTCTTATCTTGGAAAGAATAAGAAGTCCAACAGCAGGTCTGCGTTAGGGGCAGCATCTCTGCAGTGGCAAACCAATGGACTTCCACTCCTGTCATCATGTATAAGACAGAAATAAGATTTGTCGCTTCCATTTTTTATTTGCTACATCTTCACTCTGACTTTGGTTTAATAAGTGTATCAGAACAGAAAGAAACCTAAAAGAGGGAACTTCCGCTAATAACAGTGTCTAGGTTGGATGCTGAAACAGTTCTTTTTCATCATGTGTATATGAAGTTGGTGATGAATGCCATATCTCTAACTGCTTGCAAAACTTGAGCATTATAGAATCATAGAATAGTTAGGGTTGGAAAGGACCTTAAGATCATCTAGTTCCAACACCCCTGCCATGGGCAGGGACACCTCACACTAAACCATGTCACCCAAGGCTCTGCCCAACCTGGCCTTGCACACTGCTAGGGATGCAGCATTCACAACTTCCTTGGGCAACCCATTCCAGTGCTTCACCACCCTCACAGTAAAGAACTTCTTCCTTATATTCAATCTAAACTTCCCCTGTTTAAGTTTGAACCCATTGCCCCTTGTGCTATAACTACAGTCCCTAATGAAGAGTCCCTCCCCAGCATCCCTATATGCCCCCTTCAGGTACTGGAAGGCTGCTCTGAAGTCTCCACGCAGCCTTCTCTTCTCCAGGCTGAACAGCCCCAACTTTCTCAGACTATCTTCATACAGGAGGTGATCCAGTCCCCTGATCATCCTCGTGGCCCTCCTCTGGACTTGTTCCAACTTGTTCCATGTCCTTTTTATGTTGAGGATACCAGCACACATGCATTTTTTCAACAAGTTGCTTCCTATGAAAGAACCAGTGAAAGTAAAAGTGGAAAGGTGTATTAGATCATTCAATACATCTCCTTGCCAATGCAAAGTCTGTTCCCTAGAGTCCATTTCCTAGGAACTTTTTAAATAGACTCAGATTAAATGAATTTTTAGACGTATGCTCACTGAATAGTTGCTCAGAGCTCAACACATGAATCGCAGCTGTATTTTAACAGTCAGATAGGAATAATGTTAATTCAGAAGTCCATATTTCTTCTTAGTTACTTGGCAAATCTTTTCTGGTTTTAAGCAATTTCAAAGTAGCTTTGAGACCAAAATGCAGTGTAATTCCTAAATCTGCGCTCAGTGAATCAGGAACCATTAAAGATGTGGTAAAGTCTTATTTCATTATGCATCAATGTTAAATTGTGTCTCATATTCTCATTTTTCTTCTGAAATACAATTTCAGTATGGATTACTTGCAAAATAGAATGCATATGTAATTTTAAACACAGCTGGGAGAAGCTACGTTCACACTGGAATGAAGCAGAGTATTCACAACTCAGTGGAAACACAAAGCTGGCGTAAACAGCCAATTTAACTCCTATTCAAGTTTACCATATTCTCACACAATACACTATTTTCCCTGAAATTGTAAAGAACTGATAGTTCAGTTTTCTTCCTGGAACACTCATCATGCAAGATGAATAGAAAATATAATAATGCTTTAAACTTTGTTTACTTTTACACACTTGTTTTGACTAGAAAGATTTTTATCATAAAAATCAGGTAACCTGCAGCACCTAAAACAGTAAGTGCCTGGATAAAACATGATGCTCTTTGTTAATATTCTTCCATCAATCTGTGAATCATAAGACTTTTGCATCTGGTAACTGTCTACATACCCAGATTATTAGTCTCTTAATAGAAAAAAATAGGTAAAGAAGCAGTCAACAAGGGCTTTTTGTTATTTTTTTTCCTTTAAAAGTGGCGTATGACAAAATGACTATAATATAATATGAATTAATAGCAAAGGCAAATTTTTCAATTCTAATTGCATAGAAATCAGATTAAAATGTTTAAAAACCATGTCAAGCAACTATCATGTTGCTGTGGAACCTGTGATGTATTTCATGCCTGCAGAACAGAAGCAGAACAGACAGAAAGCTGTTCTGCATGTCAGCATGCTCTGGAAACAGCATTTCATTAGTTACCCGTGACATTTGGCATCAATGTCATGAGCTTCATCTTTAGGCTGGGGTCACCTGTTTCATATGCAAGTCTCATATTTGGTCCTTATTTAACAGATCCTTATCAGGTTTTAAACATAGAAAAGCCGAGCCTGGGGTACTGGAGTAAGACAGAGGCTCTTGAGCACCAGTCCCTGTGAACGGGAGAGGCGAGCATCAAATTTAACCCAATAATGTGCCTGAACCACAACATCTTACAGTGATTGTACATAACAACACTAATGCAGAGAATCACTCAGTGTGATAGCCCTTGCCTGGAGCTTGAGAAATGTTTATGTCCTTCTGCATTTTTGCTTATTTAAGTCTTCAGGAATACTGTGCCACTAAGCTGTAATGCTTAGAGTGCATCTTCATCCTCCCTTTTCTGCAAGCTTTTGTTTGGATCAGCTACAGTTAAGGCATTGAACAGGACTGAACATAATTCACTGAAGATTTCAATGAAGATGCCTATTAGGTGATATTACTTTGATAAATGTATGTCTTAGTAAATAACAGCCCATCATAAGCCATTATCATGCTTCTGATAATACATCTTTGAATGTCTTACAAAGTGATCTGAAGTTGAGTTCATTCTTACCTATTTATTTTCTGGAGCAAAAGGATATGTTTGCAAATGTGCTTTCTGTTTTGCTCTGTGTCTCTTTCTGGACAAGCTACAGGTGGTGCTGCTGATAGGGCATCTCCCTGCTTCATAGTAGCAAACAGATACTGTAACACCTATAGGCTCTCCAAGCATCACACCATGGTTTTCAAGTATTACTCTACTTATTAATGAAATTACTACTTCCAATGTCTTTTTAATTATCTCTCTTGTCCCCACTGATTTTAATTTTGTTCAGAATTTTAGTTTTTTCTTTAATAATTTTTCCATCATTGTCACTGCAGTAAAACATCTGCTGTTCTTTAAACCACATAGTTTGCCCTAGGACTATATTGCATCTTGTAATTCCCAATGCCCTTTGAGGTTTCTTTCACTCAGTATCTATTTGGGTCCTTTAAAGCTTAAAACACTGGACTTCTTCCTTTTTAGGGGTCTCTCTTCTGTTCTTATCATGTTTCTCTAACATAATCACTTCTTAATTTGTGGGACAGTTGTTAATGCCATTAGCGTTATCTGTATTTTCAGCTTCCATGTGAAGTTTTGCATGATTTTCTTCCCAATTGTATTGCAGCACTATATTGCCAGAAGTGGAACATGCTCACCATGCTAAATTAAACCACCAGAACTCCTTCTTTTGATCCTTTCATATTGGCCAGCTTGGTGAAGCCTGGGAGACGCTCAGGGCAGTGGACTGTGCACCTCTGCAGGCAGGGGTTACTTTAGCACTTGGGCAAGGTACATAAGGTTTGGTGTCACAGGGACAGCTCAGAAACACCACTTGATAGTATTAGGTCTTTATTCAACCTCCAGAGCAAGGACAGATGAATACTCATGGCAACAGCTGGCCCATGTGAACACTAAGACTACCCAGATCAGAATAATTTAGAATCATAGAATCACAGGATGGTTTGTGTTGGAAGGTACCTCAAAGATCATCCAGTTCAAACACCCTGCCATGGGCAGAGACACCTTCCACTAGACCAGGTTGCTCCAAGCCCCATCCAATCTCGCCTTGAACACTGCCAGGGATGGGGCAACCACAGCTTCTCCGGGCAACCTGTGCCAGGGCCTCACTACCCTCACAGGGAAGAACTTCTGCTTAAGATGTAATATAGATCTAGCCTCTGAATTTAAACCCATTACCATTTGTCCTATCCCTACAGGCCCTTATCAAAAGTTTCTCTCCAGATTTCTTGTAGGCCCTTTTATGTGCTAGAAGCTGAAAATAAAATTGTTGCAAATCTTCCCTTTCTCCCATTTCTGTTTGCCATTCACAGCTGTTAATTTAATGGATAAATCATTGACAATTTTGCAGCTGATGACACCATGTGCCCTGAGGCTGTAGCTCATGTGCCACTGTCGTGGTTTAAGCTCAGCTGGCAACCCAGAACCATGAAGCCACTCACTCACTCCCACCCTTTCCTCCCCCTGCTCCTGGAGGGATGGGAAGGAGAATCGGAAGAATGTAACTCCATGGGTTGAGATAAGAACAGTCCAGTAACCAAGGTATAACACAAACCACTGCTGCTGCCACCAGTAATAATAATGATAAAGGAAATAGCAAGAGAAGAGAATACAACGGCTCACCACCCGCCAACTGATACCCAGCATGACCTGAGCAGTGATCTTGCCCTTCCAGGGAACTGCTGCCAGTTTATATACTGGGCATGATGCGCTGTGGTATGGAATACCTCTTTGGCTACTTTGGGTCAGGTGTCCTGTCTCTGCTTCCTCCTGGCTTCCCCTCCTTGTCAGAGCATGAGACTCAGAAAGTCCTTGGTCAGAGTAAACATGACTCAGCAACAACTAAAAACATCGGTGTTATCAGCATTGTTCTCAGGCTGAGAGTCAAAACCACAGCACTGCACCAGCTACTAAGAAGGAGAAAAATGACTGCTACTGCCGAACCCAGGACAGCCACACACAGCAGCGTGCTCCAAAGTTGACTGAGATCCCAGTTAACCCCTTATGAGCCACAGCACATTGAGGATGAAAGTTGTTACTCTGGGAGGGGAGCAGACTGCGGCTCACAGTGACATGCAGATTCATGTTCTGCTGGCTCCTGGCAAGGGGCTCCACAGTCACATCATGTCCTGGTGCAGCCTTATGAGCCAGACACTTCTGCCTTGAGTGTTCTAAGAACAAGAGAGTGAGGCAAAGGTTTGCTTTGCTCCTGAGCAACAGTTTCAGCACAGCCCCCAGTACCTAGGCAGACATCGCTGCCTAGCACCTTGTACAGGGGCAGGGCTGTATTCTCTCTACCTAGGGCAACGGGGAGCTTGCTGGTGCAGGGACGGGGCTACAGCACTTCACAAGAGCTTGGGATGCTCCAGAGATGATAGAGACTAGAGAATGAGATCAGGGAGCTGCTGCCTGGTGACTGCGACTGCAGTAAAGGGGGCATAAGACACAGAGAAAACCTTCCCTTGAGCACCAGTTTTCAGATTTGTGTAGTTATTTTTTTTCAGTTCTGGGCAAGAAGATAGTGTTGTTGAACACAGGTATAGGGTACGCACTTATTTAGACCCAATTATGAAACTGAACCAAGTAGGCCACTGCTGCACCGGTAAAGAGTGCTTCCAAATATTCTTTTTCCAGTTTCTTATTTTCACTTGATGGGTAATAAAAGATTGAATGAATATTAACACTTCATTGGGTGTTACATTGAGAAAAATTGAAATATTATCTCCTGAAGCACAACATTTAGGTATCTTTGAGTATCTTTGAGGTCACTTATTTTAGTTCACTCTGTCAGAGTCTATTCCAAGAAATAATTAAATTTTATGCA